TTTTTTTTTTTTTTTTTTCAGGAATAACATTAGCTATAATTCACAAAGCAGCAGAAGAAAGGAATCCTTTACTACCTTTGGTTGCGACTTTATTCTGGCTCTTGTGGCTTTTTTCATAAGGAATTTTTGAGATTATCAGTGAACTTTGTAACCCTTCCAGTAGCTGGATAGAAACATTGACCAACAAAACAAAGCAATGAGAGATACTACAAGCTTAATTGATAAATATTCAACTTATAGTAAATTATATGGTGGAAAAAAGAGGAAGGGCTACACTCTGGTTTGAAAGCAATATATTAATAATTAATAAGTAACGCCGAACAATTGAGGGTTAGGACAACATGTGTCTATGCAGGCAATTATGTTTAGGCGAAACTCAACCCCATAAAATGCGAACACATGGTTCATTTTGCATTCTGTAACAGTTTGTCAAAAACAATCACACTAGCAATACACTGACTTGCACAAACTTTAACTTTATCGGATATATCACTCATAACTGTTCATTAAGAACTCATTCCTTTTTCCTTTCTTGTTTTTCTCTAAGTAAGCCTCCATCAGGGTACTTCCACTAAGATCGAATCTAGCAATAAATCTTGTCAGGAAATTAACAATTTACTAGGCTGGCCCCAAACTCACGTAAAGGTCACAAAAAGTAAATGACAACAGAATAGTTATCTAGTCCCAGAGTTGAAACCAGAATATAATGAAAGCAGTCAAGATGAATAGCGGTATTAGTTTAGGGAGCAATGAACTCCCTGACTTCTGTGTAGTTTCCTAAGCTATACGCATCCAAAGTATATTACAAAGGACGCAAAACAAGCGCAAAAGGTAGTAGAACCAAGCTTCACAGTAAATAGCAAGTCATTGCCAACTCGGTATTCAACTTACATAACGAATGCTTAGCAAGCATAAGTTCAAATAAGTATTTCGTCTTGAAGATTAATTTCAAAAGTTCATTTAAATTGCCAAATGTCCAGCAACAATCAAAGGGATACAACCTATCGCATGTTCGAAAGATGTAGCGGGACTTTTAGCAACAGTTAACTTATAATGATTACATTCTATACACGAGTAACCTATCTCATGAACAATGCATGTAGACTCATGTCTTATAAATATAATATCCTATCAACATGTCTACAAATATTATAAAAACGAGTCATTAATGAATAGTAAGCTATTATTTTTTGCAGGACTTTATGTTTCTTTAAAAAGCAACATTCAATTTATTATAGCTATTTAATAATTAATGCAGTTTGTTGAGTTCATAATAAATACAAAAAAGATGTAAACTTGGTATGATTCAATAACACTACACATACAGTAACTTTTTTGTTTCTTATCATTGTAGAATAGTGATATATAATGACTAATGTGAAATTTATTCGCAATTGACTTGTACTTGTTAATTTCAATTATGATAACTAGTGCCAGCCTAGATGATACTCATTCTTTGGAAAATTATGGTGCTTTTACTAAATATGTCTACATCACATAATTTTGGCAAATTGGATCTTTCAGATTACTCAAATAGTTTCAAAATTATACATTCACATAATTTACCGAGACAGTTAATAACAATTTAGAAATGTTTTGGTAAATCAGATTTCTATATTGCTATTTAGAATTTAGATAAGACACTTCTATTGTAATTGATAACCTCTAGCAGATAAGGTAAAATTGTAGTTAGATCTAAATTAGTAAATTATACTGCTAGCTAATATTTACTAATTACAATCAATATTGTTGAAAATAATTACAAATCTATTAAACAAAAATGGAAATCTTCATAAGCATTATACATCACTGAAACTCTGGTCAACTTTATTTTTTCAAATGTATAGGTTCTGGATGTGAGGTAGTTTAAGTTTTAACTGATGCAGATTACATATCCACTTAATACGAGAAAATTAACATCTTATTTTTAAGAAATTCGAATATAATACTTAATGAGAATCTAAAACTCAGATTTAGATGAAATACCACATAATTTCTTCATCATCACTGTAAAGAGAATAATGTTTTCATTTTCTGAAATCTAAAAAGTTATACTAGATAAATATAGTATATTTGCAAAATCTACATTATTACAAGAATTATTATTTACAGAATTTTTCATTATTATATGTGTATTAATATTTCACAGAGCAAACTCACCATGCCCCTCTACTGCCATCCTTTCTCAATATCTATTTCATATTGAAATTATTAATTAAAACTCCATGCATTGAGTAGGAACACAAGTCCGGTAATTACTTCCGACAACAAAAATGATTTCACACATATCTCACAATAAATCACAAGCCAAAGAAATCACAAATATGTGAAGCAAATCAACAAAAGCGCCATGACAGAAAGAAACGGATTAGAGCAAGGGAAAAGGATCAATATACCCTTGAAGTTGGCTGAATTCGACGAATTGATCGACGGGGTTCAGAAACTTCAGGGACTGAATTCGCGTTCGATTCATTGTCCGCTGATCTCTCACTAGCAAGCGCGGGCCTACCTCGGTGTAGCCGATCAAATCTAGAATCCCTTCTTGCTGTTTTCTTGCGGCTATCTTTTGTACGAGCTTGAGAAGAAAACACAATAGAGCCAGCAGAGGTCCCTCCAACTTTTGAGGATGAATTAAGTTCACCAGTATTTCGCTCACCTAATTCGCTATCATTGCTGCTAGCAGAGCCCTTCCCAGTACCCAATCCACCAGTACTGCGTGCATTAGGTTGCAATGAGGTTGAGTCATCTTTCCGCACTGAAGTTCTACTTGGAACACTTGGCGGTCTCCCGGACTTGATAGATCTCGGTCTAGACTCAGGAGCTTGTTTGTCCTTGGAATCAGGCTTGGAGTTATGCTTGAAGCTCCTAGGCCCAGATCCCAGAGGAGGCAAAAGTTGAGATAATTTCATTGAGTCATCAGACACATTAGTTTTGGCAACCCTGTCAGAAGTGTAGTGCTTGCTGACTTCCATGAACTTTCTCTTCTTCCCAGGCTTAGGGACACCAAATACAACCCTTGATCCTGGTTGCTTTTCTACACCAGGCCTCTTTGTCTCCACCATGTTGGGCTTATTTTTCTCCGATTTTGTACTGCCAATATTAAAAAGTTTCTCATTCGCAGACAAAGGCAGTCTTGAAACTTCATTTCTCTGTGTCACGGCAAAATCAGTACTTTCAGCCACTTTGGTCTTTCCTTTTGCTTCAATACTGCTGCCTCCCAGTTTCGGACGCTTTTCTGCTGGTGAATCTCCCTGTAATGAAAAAGTAGGACTTAGTTATAGGTTAAAACAAACAAAAGCATTACTCCACCAATACAAAGTATGGACATCGGCAAAATATGTAACCTGAGAAGCGGGTCCCGGCCCTGCTCTATGCCATTCTGTCCATTGGCCATCACTCCAAATTAAGGTTGGCCGAAGATTCCAAACCTTGACCGTTAATGACTCCCCTTGCTCTGCCAAACAACATAAAGGCATTTAACATAAAAATCACGCATGAAAAAATTACTGAATACAGACAAGGGGGTCACATCTGTATTCTGTAACAAATACCTGGAAAATGAACAGTTAGTCCAGTTGCATCCTTTTTGCTCTTTTCAGCAATAACTCCTTCACGCCAGCTGAAGCAACATTGAGACAAGAGAACAAAGATAACATAAAACACTATATACGAGGAACTATGAGATAGAAGGCCACAAAGTGTTGGCATATGATCTCATCCAGTATTTGTATTTTTCAGTCACTCAATTTATGTCATTTTCCATAGCACTTCAATAAAATCAAATGTTCATCATAAATAGTTATAGCACTTGCCTAGTTAAAAGTTTCTGTTTCTTTATGGGCTTAGTGGCTATCTTATCATCTCGATATTCAGTCAGTGAAATTATTCTAGTCGAATATTTCAAACTATGAAGCTCTCACCCTGCTGATCCTCTAAGGCACAAGACAATCTTTAATAGATCTCAACAGCTGCCTACCCCCAAGAAGAAAATACTTCCGGAAGGTGCAGCCTAATATGGAAAAGGGAAGCGCATACACTCTTAATCATGTAATGCATCCAAATTCCTACTAATTGTACATGGAATTAAACAGGAAAATAAATGCAGCTGGTCCCTAATGGCTTTTATGTAGAAATTACCAGTTTCATTGGGAACAAATTCACAACCAATGACCACCAAACTTATTCTGCTAAGCATCAATTAGAAGATGCTATCACACTTAAACCTGTGTTATCATATAAACCATCTGCTTACCAATTTTGAACCCATGCATCAACTTTGTCTCCAACAGACCAATTGTAGTCCTTGGCAGCAGCTCGACGTCTCTTCCTTGTTGCTTCAAACTGCAACGTTGTCATATCATGGGGTACGCGCACTTTTGGTGCCTGACCGTCTTTGGCTTCTACTGATACCCACTCTTGCAGCTGTGCAGATCCTAAAAAAAAAAAAAGGCAATTGTGATGTGACGCGGGGAAAGCACACACACAAGATAAGTGATGTTCTATCTGCATCCTCCCTTTCTACTACAGGTCCAAAAGTAATTCCCCGATCTATGGCAGTTACTGGCATAGCAACAATGAAACGACGACTATGACCATAATCTAGTGATAGGATCACATAATTATCATGATGAGTGACTAATTCTCAGTCTTGTTCCTTTTTAGTTTTATATTCAAAGGAGTTCTATCTATTCTGATGTCACAAACCAATTCTCAATTTAAAGAGGGAAAACACACACACACACCAATTAAAGAATCTTTAAGGAATTTGCAAACGTAGAACAAGTAATTTGTGCCACACAATGAACGAATGATTTAACAGCAAGTAAACAGAAGCAGCATGGCTTTTAATGGCTGGAGAGCAGAGTCATTAGATCCCTAGTTAACACACACATATTAGTAACTGACCTTCAGCAGATTGTAGTCCAGTATACAAAACAAGGGCTTCACTATCCTTCAAACTCAGTACACTAGCTGAAAACCAGGCCTTCTTCGAATCACCACAATCTTTTAGAACCTGCAATGTCAAGTAGTAGAAATTTCTATAAACGAAATGACAGAAATTAAACATACCAATTATATTCGTTGTTTTGACACTGGAGAGGAACTGAGGAAGAGGAAGTTCGTGAAATGTTTATTAAATAAGACCCAACAGAAAAGTCTCAAACCTCTACATAGGAACCCTCTTTAATGCTTGATAGGACATGTGAAGTCGATCTTGACTCAATATCGGGGTGAGAAATACCAGGAGTATTAACCGAGTTGGATACTTTTTCATCTTTTTGAGGTTTAAAGTTCTCCCTATGCTTTCCAGAGGCAATAATGTTCTCTTCTACGTTGACATGATCATCCACCACATTCCCAGATAACTCTTGAACGGCTTGCTCAACATCACTTGCAATGTACATATCCTTATCAGGTTCCTCATGTCGGTTCATATAATCTTCAGGCACCTCCCCAGCTTTGCTAGAGCTAGATTTATTCTTCTTGTCATTAGACTTCAGACCAGGCCCAACACCCACCTGCGGTACTTTCCAGTAGTTATTTGGCCCGGCTTCTGCAAGCCCGCTCAGGGAGAACGGTTCACCTAAGGAGACAATCTTCCCAGCATGCGAAACTGCTTCTGCAGCCAATTCTGCTGCTTTAACAATGGCATCAAGATTTTCAGCATACCGTGTGGCAGCTGAAGCAGCCTCAATCCTTTTCTTAGCAGCCTCTCTCGCAGCAGATATCGCTAAGCCGGGTGCATTGTTAGAATCCCCGCCCCTCAAAATGGAGTTGGGAGATGCATTCACCAAATTAACGTCATGTCCACTAGAATCCACAGCTCCAGACGTGGTCACTGCTTCATCGGCCATTTGTTTTGCTTGCAATGCAGCAGCTGATGCAATTTTAGCCGCCGCAGCTGCTGCCTTAGCAACAGAAGCAGCAGCTGCTATAGCAGCAGCAGCAGAGGCTAATTTACACTGAGCATCTGATTTCAAGCCAGCTTGCTTTTGCTCACCCAACTGGTTCCATACACCTTCACATTGGCTAATTGCAGCAGCAGCTTGGGTGGCAGCTTCCTGTGCTTGTAACTTAGCCTCCTCAACCTTGCTGCAATCCTCGATTTTCTGTGCCCTCTTATCTACACTCAGATCACCTCCCTTGGGTTGATAATTAGCAATTGATGGTGAGACCACAGGGAAGAAATGGTAGGAAGAGCCTTTTTGCACAAAGCTAGAAGGGGTTGCCACAGCAACAGATGTAGAGTAATGACTGCTAATAACAGGTGTATGCATCTGGTCTCCTTGATATCGTGCTGTGAAAGGGAACTGACTAGGAGCCTCAACTGCAGGGCCTTTGTTCGACAACTGACTAGCTACTACAGGAGAAGAGGCAGTGTGTACCAATGAAGCGGTCACGGATAACCTTACAGCATCCTCAGCACTAGAAGACTTTTTCCTCTTCTTAGTCTTTGTATCTACAGTTTGTCCACTTGATGCTTTCAACATTTTCAAGTCAACTGAAGGAGCCTCAGCATTAGTAGAAACAATGGTATGACTAGTAGGAATACCAGATGCATAACTTGTACTGGCGGAAACAACTGGGGTTGATTCTTTGTTTGGAGCTAACTTTACAGGCTCTTTCATGCCTGGAAATGCAGGGTAAGTAGTACTGACATCATAAGGAGTGGTTTGTGAAGAGGCAAGCCAGGGTACTGGGAAAGGAGCCTGTGATGACCAAGTAGTATGTGGCACATAGTTCCGTACAGGTGGAGTCTGATAAGGGTTGAAGGGAGTACCAGTCAGATAATCAATAACAGCACTTCTGGAGGTGCTGCCTGGGGGCAAAGCTTCTGCAGATGCAGTAGATACATTCCACAAGGGTGACGGGAGAGAAAGCATCTGGTTAACAACAGGAGAAGGAATGGGCTTTTTACTTGCTTGACCAGTACTTGCTTGACCAGACATAGGGGTAAAAGCTTCAATTTGAAGGAAACTTTGACTGTTGGTTTGATCTTGTGCTTTTGGACCTGCATCTTCCAATGGTAATCCATCATTAGTCACTGTACTGTAATTCCAAATACTCAAAAGCACGATACATACCTGATAGTAATGACACTGGTGTTTCAGTATTTTTGACATTGGATTTTTGACCATGAACCCGTTCAACACAAGCACACCAAGAAGGCTCCCAAACACTCCTTCTTCCATCTTATTTCAGGAAGGAAAAGTGGGGGAAAAAAATGGCAAACTTTCAATTCAGCAGCAACATGCATCCATAAATATGTAAATATACAATGCTCAGAGTAACATAATATCTTGTATATTGGTGGCTTGGCGCTTTGCCTTCTTCACAGCTAAAATAGCATAGCTTCTTTTCATATTGAAATTTATTTCAGTTCTCAAACTTTCTCTATCACTATTCTTACACGTTCATTTTAACAGCTGTAGCAGGGGCATTTACATATGGAAGTACCAAAAGGGAGATTGGAAGCAACTAAAAAATTCAAAAAGTACAAGAACAAATAGGGTGTAGTTAGACATTTTACAAACTTTTGTGTTTATGTAAAATACTGTCATACATGATGATGGAATTTGTTTAGATCTTTCAGTTCCATTCAGATCTGTGACTAAGAAAAGCTGGGTTCATCTTGTGTTCAAGGAATTTAATTTACTCCACAATAATATGTATTTGTGGTTTAAGTAACTTCTGGAATTAAGGAAAAGAAAAATACAGTTAAAATATAGAAAGAGGAGAACATAAAGAACAGCGCATGCTGACCTCTAGGTATAATGATCAAACTTAAATGACAAAAAAAACATCATACTTGATCATTGTGAACAATATGCGTGTTGGGATTATTTCTGTTACTACTTCGGTACAAAAATTTTGCCGTAGTCGAGGAAATTCCCCTTTTCCAAGTACAAAACAAGAAAAAGAAGAAAAAGTACTTGAATGTGACTTTTCGCAGGTAAAGAAATGTGATGGATAATGTTTAATGTTTCAAGTTCCCTTAGTAACACAANCGACACCATACAAGCCTCATCAGGTGCAGTTCCTTGTCTGCAACAAAAAATAAAAATAAAAATTGTTCAGGACAAAACAGATGATAAATAAACATAATAACATTGCAAGAAAACTTTCAAAAGTTTACGCAAAATATCTATTTACTTCTAGTCTTCTAAACAAATCTATCATAAGTTAAAGTATCTTGCACTGTGCTAAAGTACGTAATAAAGATCAAACTCACATAAGAGATCCATAAACGAAGATTTGTGCTCGCAGTTGCACTTGTTGTAAATCTGTAAAAGGCTGCTGGAAGAATGCAGGTGATGCAACGGAAGAGTTCAGATCAGGCAAGCTGGATGTAGGAATAGGAATAGGCCCCCTTGCCTTGTAAGCACTTTCAAAATTCACAAGTTGACTGGCCTCTAACGGACTCAAAAAATGGGATGATTTCTCCCATTTTTCAGGCAGCTGCCCCAAAGGAGTCGCTTCCTTCACCTGATTTCCCTTATTTGCACTTGCCTTACCAGATTTACCACTAGCACGTCTTGTTTTACGCTCTGAGGGACCTCTGACAGATTTGGATGGAGGTGTTAAAGAACTAACATGAGAAACTTCCTTCGCCTCAACTGGATCTGTAAGGTTGCTACCAGATTTTGAAGGTGATCCTCCACCAGTCTTCAGCGGAAATAAATAGCAAGAACATTTACACTTAATCAAATAAACCCAACAGCACAAAGTAAATGAGTAATTAACTAGAACATGGCTGAGTGTAAAGAGTACCAGAGACAGTTTACAAGCTTGAATTTTCGAAAATGATTGGGAACCCTTGCCAGAACCTCCTGTAGAATGACCCCCCAAAGGCCTGACATCAAAAGTGAAGGTTCCCTCTTCTTCAGTCGAAACATTTACCACAGAGTTCTCTGCTTTTGTTACGATTTTACCAATATCTTCAACATCTCTTTTAAGAGGTGTCTGATTGTTTATCATGCTCTCTGAAAGACCAGTACATCTAACGCCAGTTGGAGCAACCGGGTCAGGTTTATCCATTTCCATAGAACAGCTGGCAACTGCAATCACGTCAACTGCAGAGCTTAAGTTAATAGGACTAAGTAGTAAATAATGTAAATAAAAAATGAGCTTGCAAATAGAAGCTGCAGAAGCTTAAGATTGCATGAAAAGTTGCCTACCAAAACCAGATAAAATGCAGACAATTTGAGGTCATGAGAAAAGATGGTCATGTTTTAATTAGATACAGAAAATTAACTCGGCACAAATTATTATGCAGCAAGAAGTTTGAAATTTCTTAAGTGGCCTTATTCCGTTATTATCTAGCAGTCAGACGGCACAAAGATAATGCCGAATTAAAATAATGTTCATATGAATTCTGATCTCATCAATTTTAATTTATGTAGGTTTACACCTGGAGGAAAGTGACCAATAAAATCCTATGGAGAATGGACTTGTGATAGTATATCTGCTAGAGGTGGCCAAATACCGGCCCGGCCTGGCGGATCGGCGGGCCTCATATGCTGGGCCCGTAACCGGCCGGGTATTCCTATGGGCCGGTTCAAGTGAACTGGCCCGTTGAACCGCCGGGTTTTTATTTAAAAAAAAAAATTAAAAAAAAATAAAATAAAATCAACTGTGACCCGCCTTCCAACCCGCAGCCCGACCCAGCCCGGCCCGAACCGCCGCGACCAAAAATGAAAAATGAAGAACCGGAACCGACCCGCATGGCCAAGGTTCCGGTTCAACAAACCGGTGAAATCCGGGCTGGGTCGGAACCGGCCATGTCTAATATCTGCAGGTCAGCAAAGAAGGAAATTGCAGATATGCCATACCTATAATTGACTTGGAAATGTCCACTTAAAATTTCATAAACCCAAGTCATATTAGATTGGAGTAGCATAAGTTTGTACACTGAACTGCATACACACGTTTAATTTGCAATTATTACAAATTCCTAGGCAGCTTTTGTATGAAGTCAAAAATGCAGTTTCCCGTTTACCTGTTCAAAATGTCATCACAGATTCACAGCACAGTACACAATAACAAGTTACAAAATGCAAACTATACCTGAGTCAGGCTCGCCTAATAGTTAGGTTAATTGGGTACAAGCGGGGTTCCAAAAAGACATTATTCTTTGATCTGAACCGACTTATCTTTCTTCTGCTCATTTTTAGTACAAGAATATGCTGTTCGTTGTTAGTTTGCTCTTACCTAAAAAATTTATGCTCTAGACTTTCCATAGACAAGACAATTTATGTCAAATAGCTAAAAGATTGGCACTCATCTTACAGCACCCTGGTATAGTTATAAAAAGAAAAAGGATGGTAGCACCAAATAATATTATATAACCGTCTTTTAATTATAAAAAATAGTAAGCACAAAATTATACCCTAATTTTTTAAAATTTCACTACAACTTATGTGATGCTTGTTTTGAGAGTTTGAGGGTGGGGAATGGGAATGATAATCAAAGTAGGTGGTTAGGTACACCGTACACACCACTTTATAACATTAATTCCCCAATACAAGGGCATACTCCATACCCCTCACAAATGAGGGGTAACAAACCCATAGGCTTTACTTCAAAGCAGTCTTTTTCCATTCCTTTATTTTCAAGCACCCCCTTAATAGAGTACTTGGCAACAACAACAACAACAACAACATACCCAGTATATTCCCAACAGGTTGGGGTCTGGGGGGTCAGTTGTACGCAGACCTTACCCTTGTAATTATACAAGGAGACTGTTTCCGTAGCGACCCAAGGTGCATTGCGCCGTTTGATATATTTTTTTTCTAGAAACTTCACTAATAGAAAGAAGCACTAGAATTTAATTGAGCCATTTTGATCTAGTAGCGACCCAAGGTGCATTATTAGCACTATGCCAGGAGAATTGTCAACAATGACTCTTCCAGCTCCATTTGCAATGGACAAAGAGTACTTGGCAAAAAAAAAAAAAATAATAATAATAATAATAATAATAATAAATCAACATGTGCCAGAAAATAGTGGAACAGTATTCTCTAGCCTGTATGATGATGACCAATGCAGCAACTCAAAACTGCGAAAAATATGCTAATCTAAGAGAAGTGAGTGTCAAACCTGCAACCAGTAAAACATTTCACTAGAAGGCAACATGATATTGAAAGATAAGAGACCATTCACCTGATATGGTAGAAGGATAGTCTCCCGAGTTTCTTCCCGCTTCTCCCATCGCCATTTCAGTAGGTGCAGCTACAGCACCAATATTTTGCACTTTCAAGTCACTAAAAGAAGTATCCATCTTTTCAGGCACCTCCTTTGGACCTCCAGCAGATATGGTATTAGAAGGCTCTACCAAAGGAAGAGATTGATCACTTCTCTTTACTATTTCCCTTGTTTCAATGTCAACCAGTGAACCCTTGTCAGTTTCAAAAACAGGGGTAGGCTCACTTGACTCCTTATGGCCTTCATCAGGCACAGCACCACCAGAAGGCTCGACCAATAGAAGAGATTGACCCCTTTCCTGTGCTTCTCCGGTTTCAGAATCAGGCAGTACACCCTTCTCAGTTTCAAAAGCATGGGTAAGCTCACTTAACTCCAGGGGTTCCATTGAAACTGAAGCAATTGGTTGAGTTTCTTTACTCTGATCCCTCAACGTCATATCACATGAAGGTGGCTTATGCTTGTCGCTGTCAACTAACTCATCACCTTCACCACACGATGATGTCAGCTTTGTATCTTTAGCCTCTGTGTTTGATGCTGCAATGCAGAATAAAAGGCAGTAGAAATTAAAAAGCACATAAAGAAAGGATTATAAGATTTCCAAGGATCATCATACAAATCTTTTGTAAAGGACAAATTGAGAGAAACAATAGAGCACAAGACCAGTCATACCTGGACAAGCCTCGGCGGGATTATTGAGCTGTAATCCAGTAGTTGTACCAACTTTAATTCCTTCACCTGAAAAAGTAGACACTTTGTTTTCATTTCCATCGCCGGACACATCACCTGAATCAAAAGCCAACTTCTTGATGTCTGTTTCAGTGATTGGAACATCCAGGTCATGTTCACAGGCATCCAACTGCATAGGGGTGGTATCTTCTGTGCCTGTCTTCTTGCTCCCAGCTAACAGAGGAGGGGCAGCATGATTCACCCAATCCTCCAAATTCTCCTGTGTTGTAGCAGTATCTCCAGCACCACTCATATCATCATTCACTGGTTTTTTCCCACAAGAATCACCCGCTACAGAGTAAGCTTGACCATCCTCATGATTGCTTTCACCAACATTATCAGAAGAATCGCAAATTACCTCAGAAGTAACATGTGGAGTCTCGACATAGCTATGAGTTTCAGGTTGAATATCTTCACTACCAATTAGAGTCGGGTTGTCATTCGGTTGGATAGCAGGTACCTGATTGGGCTCAGTATCTCCAGAGACTGTAGAGGTAATAGCATCGCTACCTAGCACTTCTAGGTGCTCAACAGCTTCTCCCTGAAGGGAGATAGATGACTCATGAAAAAGGCTACAGCCTTCAGACTTCTTAATCTCTGTGCTTGGAGCAAAGACCGTTGTTCTACAATGACTGTCACCTGCAGCATCAAATACAACCTCATTGCACCTATCTTTTGTGGACACAGACTCGCCGTCTTGAGTCACAGTAGGAACGTCGGAAAAATTAGCAACACCAATTTGAACCAAGTGCTCTCCTCTTGAAGATTCCATTGGTGAAGGAATCTCATGGGAAGAATGGCACTCAGTAACTTCAGTTTCAGCACCCAAATTCCCTTCATTTGGGTTGCATCCTTTCTCTTGTTCCTGAGAAATGGCATGTGTTACATCACTTGAACTTACAACACCAACATCACTGACGTTATCCTGGTCAACAAACTCCATAGCACAAGCAGCAACATTCTGCGGAGAACTTTCAATTTTATCATCAGTTTGACGAACAGGGACAGTTTCTTGTTGCACGTGAGTGGACACAGATTCATTCACCAAACCACAAGTTTCTTCTTGATTATCACAAGCTATCTTCAAGTGAACCTCCGAAGTTTCCGAGGTCAGGAAGACAAATCCTTTGTTTCCATCACCAGCCACTCCATAACAAGAAGCACTTGTCCCCCCAGCATGTACAGAAACCTCAGTTTGAACGCCTTCTATTTCATCACTCTGATTTGACCTCGAAATATTCCCCTCAACTTCAGCAGGTGATATTGAAGAATCTTTTAAGTCATTAACATCATCAATTGTATTATCCTGCCCCACGTTCTCCACTTGTCTTGTTGAGCTACCTAGCATGTTACCTGGATTTGACTCTTTCATCAAATTCTCACCCGGAACCATTTCTTCCTGTCCAACTGCCTTCAGTAACATTTCAACAGATTCGGAAGATGTTGCCTCAGACCAGACATTGATGTGCCTTGGCAAAGCACAAGATTCTGTTGCACTGGAGCTGAACTCTATTCCACTGCCTCCCCGTGAGAAATCCTCAATCCAATGATTGTCTTCTTGACTTGGAATACCAAGAAAAACTTCGTTTTCAACTAGACTATCAAATCTCAAATGACCTTGGAGACTGTCATCAAAATCAAACTTAGGAAGAGCAAAGGGTCGCAGAACAGAAGAAAATTTAGAATTCTCTTCACCGGCTAAGTGAAGATTGTGGCCTTCATAGTCATTGTCATTATAATCCATCGGAGTATACCTAGAAAGTACATGGGAAAAGGAGGCCAAAGAATTACCGGAAAATAGATATAGTCAGGTCAACTCTCAATTACCAAGCTAACTATGGCAATATGAAACATAACAGAAAGCAGAATAGTAGCATTCAGACCAAGCATGAACATCCAACCACCAAAAAAAAGGCAAAAATACTTTCAGCAAAACCATAGATAACAGTTTGTTCACACTTAACAAAACATGCACCTTCCCACAACCCGTGTTTTCTCTACAAATTAGACCTAAACTAGATGGATCTCTAACCAATGGGAAATTGCAGTCAATACTTGCACTAGACTTGACTTGGAGAATTTAGAAGTGCATCTGCATTTCTGAAATCATTTGAACTCATCCGCAGCTTAAGTATTTCTCATTGACATTGTGGATATCAGTTTTTCGGGCAAGAGAAAATACCAATATTGACAGTAACTGGTTTTTGGAGTACAATACTAAATTAGGATTAAGAAGCTGTGTTTATGGAATTAAGATGGTGGAAGAGTTTGACAGGTTGGTTTGTAAATGATGTGGCAGTGTATGGCCCACAAAGAAACCTGTTTAGGGACATTACAGTTGTAGGTGCCCTCGGGAGAAAAGTTATAAAGCAGTCATTCCTATATTGAAATAGCATAGATCAAGGAATGCTTGGTCTTGAAGCTAACAGTGCAGAGACATTCGTGATATTTAACAATTTTATTCCTATACACTGTTGATAAAATTTAATCAAAAACAGACATCAAATATCACTTTTCGCCAACATTTACTTGATACACATTGACATTTCTCCACTGTACGCATAATATTATGAATTTATTTCATGCATATGGGCAAGAAAGGGAACAAATTTCCAGCAGAACTTTCAATACAAGCTCAATGAATTCAATTTCATTTCATCAGCCGATTAAAAAAAAGCCAACCTAGGATCCGAAATTCATTTAGATAACAAATAAACAGAAGAAGAGCAGCTGGCTCG